ATGAGTTGCACCACTGAACTGTGTCACTTCACGCCATGTCCTGTTGCAGGATGAGGTAATACGCCTTAATTGCCTATGTCAGGTGCTATGAGAGTTGTGGATGAAAGGGCTCTGCAAGGATCAAGTAGCATTAATGGATTGTTATTAGCTGTGGCGCCATGTGAACATAGATGCTATGGTGGTGCTGCCAGCATAGGATTGCAACATTATCACTGAGGGAATGAGTCAGGGAGAGGTTGATTGCAAAGTGGAAAGCTCCAGTGTCCACTTTGTGATGAACAAGGGCTGAAGTAAACAGCCAAAAGTTAAAATGTGTTTGGTTATGACCCAAATGTACCAGCATATGGTAGGGACAAGCTCTCTGAGTTTCATCAGTTACTTTTGAAGATGCTTTTTTATGGGGGATGAGATCGAGAGTGTTTATACAATCCTTAAAGAGTGTCTTATAAAAATCAAGCCATCCGGCTGCTTGACTGAAATCCCATGACATCTGTAACCAGCACAGTTAGGGGCTTGGAATTTTGTAAATTCCTTGCAGACCATGAGCTGTAACTTGGGTGGATTACTCAACACTTAAAGAGATTAGAAATGGTAATTAACATTTGATTCTGTTTTAAAAGCAATTTTAGCAATTAAGAAATCTGCCTGGAAGGCCGCCCTGCAGACCAAAGGCCTCTGTTTATAATGCAAAGGCTACAGAAAGCTTTCTCCCCCACTAAACAGTGTCCCAGAGATGGGCCAGCTCTCTTGGAAAAGCTACTTGTAAGGGAGAAAAAGGAGGCCCGTGGAGAGAGGAGGGACCCAGGATGGAGGTAATTTTTGATGTTGCTTAAGTCACAACAATCTTCCCTTTCCTATCTTTTATCTATTAAGATGGTTAGCTCTTTGGGACAGGCACTTTTTCCACTCCGTGCTTCAACAGCACCTAGAAAACAAAGCTAGGACCTCACCTATATCCTCTACTTGCTAGTGTAGTATCAATGATAGCAGCTGCTCTTGTTTCTTTAACTTGGTGATGTATATTCAAAAAGCACCCAGGCTCTAGCGGCCTTTTCCAGGAATTAGAGCTACAGCCGCAGAAAAGACGAAAGCAGCAGCTTCCATTCATTGTGCCCCAGATTTCCAACCAGCCAAGTAGAAATTAAGCCAGATCCATACAACATCCTAGCTCCCACATGCCAGCAGCACGCTCTCTAGTCAGCAGACCTGGGCTCTTCTAAGTCAAAAATCAGAGTGAGTTAGAAAGTGGAGGGTCCTCTATGGAGAACTTTCTGCCAACAGCCACGTCGCATGTATGACAAAGAGGGTCTACTTGGGCTTTTCCACTCACTGTAGTGGCAGATGTGGTGCAGGCAGAGAGATCACTCTCAAACAGGAAGGTCCTAAGCCACAAAGAGGTTTGCAGGGTAAATCCAACACTTCCAGCTCCATCTAGAGACCAAAAGGCAGAAGCTGGAGCTCCAGGGACAAAACAGAACCCCCGTGGAAGTCTACAGGGACCAAAATCTGCCTCGGGGAGCCCTTGACAAGGAGAGAGTGGGACCATTCAGCCTTGCTGACTCCTGATATACTCTTCAGCTGAGCCAGTAACAGCCTCTAGTGACCAAAAGCACTGCAAGCAGCTGACAGATCGTATAGTACGGACAGGGCCACTTGATGTTGGGAGATCATGGTGGCCCCTGCAAGCTTGTTCTCTATCTCTCTGCTAGGCATCCCGACAAGCGGGCTAATTCCCGCCAATTGTGGAGATCCACCAACTCCTCACTTAAGCACTGAATTTTCACTGCCCAGGTCCGGCTTTGAACTTGTCTCCAAGAGGTGTAAATTTCCACAGCCCATTACTAGGCCACGTTATTCTCCTGTACAGAGCACCTTGCTTTGTTGTGTTGCCAGCATAAGGTCTTTAGCCCCATGCTGAACTGTAGCACAAAGGGCGCATCTACACATGCATCAACGTGCTTTAGTTAATGCGCATTAAATCTAGTACCTCCAGGCACTTTTGCACGCGCTTTGGGGGTGGGGTGGGGGTGGGCTTTAATTAGAGCAGCTCCGAGAGCCTAATTAAAGCGCTGCCACTTCACCTGTATCAGCATCCCTGCGGTTGAAAATGGTGGTGGGGGTGTTTGAACTAAAGCTCATTTGACAAGTTTTAGTTTAAGTACAAGAGGCTGCTGGAGTGCAGCAATTGCCATGTTCCAGCAGGCTTGATGATTCGAGTCTGCTTCGATGTGCTGGAATCCCAGAGCATTGAAGCAGCCTTGGCACTCGTGTCTCAGCGCTCTCTATTGTGAGATACTAGGAAAATGCGCATTAGTGTGCCTTAATGTGCATTAACTAAAGAGCAGGGTTTTTAAGTGATGTTGAATGCAAATTTTATTATTTATTGCATATTATAATAACATTATTTTAATGTGCATTCACTAAAAAGTACGGGGTACCTGTACATAAGCACGGAGGCTGCTCCAACATGCTGTAATTACTGCATGTTGGAGCAGACTTGATGCTCTAATTAAAGCATGCGTAAAAGTTCCCATGACTTTTTTAGTGACGTTTTAACGCTCATTAAAATAGCGTAATGCCCATTAAAGCGCATGTGTACATGCACCCACAGTGAACTATCCACTTCCTTTCCATCGCTACCAGTGCTTAGGACTGCCCCAGAATAACAGAGGAGAATTTGGAGCTATGTTTTCATTCCTGAATATAAGCCAAACCGTTGTTGGCCAGGCTTGTCAAAAACCACTAAGGAGCTGGATGGCTGTCAGGGCCCACCTGGGTCAGAGGGTTCAGCCGAGGTGGGGTTCTTGGGAGTTTGTGCAAAGCGGCTTCACAGGGGGAGGCAGATCCCATGGGTTTCCCTTTGTCCACTCAAATCACACTATGAATGTTAAAATTGCAAGGAAAGCTCAATGCAAGCCTCAGCCAAAAACCACAACACTGGTGTATTTTGAGGTCAAAATTATGTGAAACCACCAACTGTGCTTGTTCAGGCCTCTGCTGCATTCATCACCCAGGGAGTAGGCATTAGCCTCCAGCCTCTCTTATACAACAGCACAGCAGAGCTCAGCCCCAACTGCCTGTATGACGGCAGAGCAGCCTGCAGCGCACAGTACAGAGAAGAGGCAGGGATCATTCAGTCAGCTCTTGGCGGAAGAGCACTGCAGATGAGGTCTCAATACGCAATGCTATTGAGACCAGAAAGAGATTATAGATGCACCTCTGGAATGAAGTCAGTCTGGTCTCCTGGGAGGTGGGATACATCAGCCCCTGGAATACAGTCACTGATTCCCAAGTGTTTAGAGATCGGCCCGAGACATGCAGGTCAGAGAAACCCTAAGCAATGCAACACCATTGAGACTCGGCATTACAGTACAAACTGGTCTGCAGAACAAAGCAATTGAGCCTAAGCATGCAGCAATCCTGATCTATAGGCATACAATACTGATCTGCCCACTGAATACAGTGCTGCTCAGCTGCAAAGATATGCAATGAGTCAATCCCTGGACTGCACTGTGGCAGGACCCTGGAGGTGTCAAATCAATCAACTTCTGGAATGCAGTGCTGCTGCGGGTCCCAGAGGTGTAGTATCCTGGAAGGCAGTGTGCCTCTACCGCTGCTGGAAGTCAGCATGGCTGCAAATCAGGACTACAGTACAGATCGCTCCTGGAAGGCGGCATGGCTGAGCCACCGAAGTGGAGATACACCTTAGGAATACGTTGGGGCTGAGCCCAGCTGGTACCATACCAAATGTGTTAGACCTCAGCCTTAAGTAGCATGTTTATAGATCACTAGAGATTTGCAGAACAGTTCCCAGCCCTGTTCTCGGGATCACACCACAGTTCACCCTGACCTACCAAAGGTGTTCATAGGGTGCTTATCACCCTATGTAATGACACTCCATTCTGCTTCCCCACCCTCCCCCATATATGACGCTACCTCCCATTGCCTAGTTTGTTCAGCAACGACCCTCAGGTGACATCTGCGTTACCCAGCGAGCCTGACTTTAATAAATGCCTTGGTCTCCTGCACAATTGGTCTGCCTATGGTCAAGACAAAAGCACCTCAAGGCAGCTGCGGGAAGAGGGAGGGAAGCATGGAAAGTATTAAGGAGTGTCTGCTTCCTCTGGGCTCTGCCCTTAAAAGCAACGGTCCTTACACTTCTCTGGCCCATGGCCACCAATACTGATCCAGTTCTGCACTAGGGGCAATATCAGACTTTGGTCTCCCTTTCAACATGAAGGTCCTGGGTATGACTGTAAACTACATCCGACTAGGAGGGCCTGGTGACAGCGTGGTAGAGCTACTTGTGGCAGGGTGGCTCCTCTAAAATACCACTATGTTGCAACCTCCAGAGTGAGGTGAGTATAGGATGCCTCAAAACCCTAGCTCTCACTGTCTTGTGGGTACTCCTTGGTTGGAGAAGGGCTAAGGGACATCCCCTGACAGAAATGTGCCTTCACTGAGGCATTGGGCAGTCAGCAGTAGTTCGTATCTGTTGTTCTCTGGCAGAAGTTACAACCATCGAGGCACTGAGCATCTGGACTTGGTCTGGCCTTTGGATTATGTCTCAATGGTTTAAAGGCAGTGTGGTAGGTCTTGGGCAACTTCCACTCCTCCATACTCTTGCCTAGGTGTACGCGTTGAAGGTCTTGGTGTGGCGGTCGCAGGACTCCAGTACAACTGGACTTACCAAGCACCTGCCTAGACCTCTTACGCATACACCATGATGCAGAGGACCAACGATTGCCTACAACCTGAAGGAACAGGTAGCTAGGAAAGCCAAGTGCCTCTGAGTGCTGCTCACAGCAAGAGAGAAGTGTGCGGCCCCAAAGATAATCAGTGGTGAACCACTGTTGTAGGGTGTCCCTAACATACCTATAGTCAGCAAAGGGCTAATATCTTCTTTGGTTCGCAGCAGTGATGTTTGGAGGCACTAGGACAGGCCCATGGAGCACTCCCTTGTACCCCCACCTTGAATACACCCCAGGCAGAAGACTCACCTCGTCCGTTCTGGCTGGGTCGGTAAACGCTGCCCACGCTGACTCGGGCCTGGCTAGCACCTGAGTTGTCTGGTATCACTTGTGGTGCCTCTGGGTTCCTCACGGGCAGGTAGGGTTCAGGCCTCGGTACCCCGTAGGGATCCAAGGGCCGGAAAGGCGGCTGGGGTTCCACATTGCGAGGCGGGACGTACGGCTCTGCCGGGACATTTCCGTAAGGTGGGTAGAGCCCAAATCGTGGGTCAGACCCATACCCAGGGCCAGCCCCCACAGGGGACCCTGGGTTGACCTGTAAGTTGTCCGTAGCAGAGATTCCCTGTCCTGTTGGCTGTCGGTTCTGTGCAGCTGAATAAGAGTCCTGGAAGCCTTGTTCAAAGGTGGTGCCGGTGTCATGGTACAAGCTGTGGGAGTACCTCCGATCCAGTCCATCGGAGGGCTGGGGTTGGGGTTGGGGTTGGGGCTGGGGTTGAGGTTGGGGTTGGGGCTGGTGGGGCACTTGGACGTAGGGTCTCTCCTGAGCAGGGTAGTACCCCTGGGCTCTGTAGGGATTCTGGTCCTCCCCGTACTCCTCGTACCTTACTCTGGGCTGGAAGGGGTATATAACGCTGGCACCCGCCGCTGCCGATGCAACAGCACCCCCTCCAGTCCCTGTGCTGCGGTAGTACATGTACCCCTCATCATAGAGTCGGGGCACCTGGGGGTCATAGGTCTCATACTGGTTCACAAAGGGGGGCTGGGCATAGGGGAACTGGGAGTAGGAAGGCTGCCCAAAGGAGGAGTAGGCAAATGAGGAAGAGGAGGACGAGGCAGAGCTGGTCTGTCGTTGCCGAGTCGGGGACGGCCTAACCCGTTGGGAGTTGCCACCGTCTCCAACAGCTCCTTCCCTCCAGTTGTCTGGGACTTGGCCGAAGCCAAACGGGTGCCGCGTTTGGCCTCGGACAGTGTCAGAGCCTGCTCTGACTGGCAAGGTGGGCGCTTGCCTCCGGACGTTCCCTTGCGCCCTTCTGCCCTGGGTCCGGGGTGTATCAGCAAGCAGGACCCTGGTGGTGCTGTCTGCTCTCTCCTGGCCAGCGGGCAGGTACTCCGACCCAGTATTCAAGAGGCTGTACAGCCTGCCGTTGTTCTCCCACTGGATCATCTGCCTCCACCGCTCGTTGCTGCCCTGTGGCTGTTGCCCGTGGGCCAGTAGAAAGACCCCGCAGCCCATCAGAGCCCACAGGTCCCAAAAGCCACGAGCCGTCATGGTGGCCAAGGAGAAAAGAGGGCTCCTTTAATGACTAGTTCTTTTAAAACAAAACCAAAGGGGGAGGCAGCCTGAGTGCTCTCTGCCAGGTAACTGTTTTTCTTTCTCCAAAGCCTCCGTCCCCGTTTCCTGATGTTAATAGATCCAACTTTGTCCATTCCCGGCTCGCTCTAAGCGACACAGCTTGCCTGCAGGCTGCATTGTGCAGCCAATATATGCCCAGTCGGCTGGAGAGATGAGAGATGAAGAAGAGAGTCACTTCAGATCTTGCAAGGGTTTGCGGGGCTTCCCTGGGAGTGTTCTTCACATTGCTGCTATGTCCTCAGCAAGGATGTTCCTTTCTCCAGCTTGCTTGCTCCTTCTCTCCCTCTCTCTATGCTGGATGGCTTTACTCCTGAACTGAATGAATAAGCAACAGGCTGTGAAAACTTTGGAGGTTTCCAGGACTGCTCGTGTGACTTTCCTCCACTGGGTCCTAGAGATCACCAACTTTCTGTAATTCAGCAGCATAACATGACAAGCTGTTTTCACTCACAACTTTGAGTAAAAAGCAGCACTGTTGTAAGAAGAGGGGCCTTTTAATCCAGCTCAATGCAACAAATGCCTCCCCTGCTCCCCCCAAAAAACCAAAAACCCTCACTGCTATGAATGAAACGAAACCTTATTTGGGTTTCCTTTCCTGATCACCCGTGGGTCCCTTGGCACTTGCATCACCAGGTTAGAGATGGGGCCCATCTTAAGTGCTCCAGGATGGTGCATATGGTCACAATAGGAGTTAGGGCCATATCTGGAAGCAGAAGACAACTCTCCAGCCTGTAAGTCAACAGCCTGGTCCTCTGGATGGTCTTCACTCTCATACAGCCATCCAAAGTGAAACAGTAGAGACGTTTAAGTGGTAAAATTCAGGCCTAAGTATGGACCACCCCAAAGTTTGGGGTCATTCCCACTCAGTGACCCATCCCACAAGAAACCAGCTTGCTAGATTGCATGGGGTTTAAGCCCAGAAGGCACCATTATGGTCATATCGTTTGACTTCCCCATTGCCTTGGCTCTGCTCTCTACCTCAAAAGCAGCTTCCTCATTGACCTGGTTCTTCTGGCTGCCTTGAAGTGGCCATCTCAGCTCCACATGCTGCCTTAAAGCGATTTCCATGCTGTCTCAGCTCCGCTCGCCACCTCCATGCCCCATCACTCTGCTTCTTGCCTCACAGGTGCCTTTCTGCCAGCTGAGCTTGCCAAACTGCTTCAGTGCCATCTGCATTTTTAGGGCAAGATCAGTGGCATGAAGGACCCTGACAAACCCACTCTCTAGAGTTCCCCCTTGCACTTAACCCTTATCTGAGATCCCTTACTTTGCCATTCCAGACTGCATAGATGACTCAGCACCGTGGGTGCCAGTCCCTTGTCCATTCGTGAACGAAAAAAAAGATCATTTTATTACCACCCCCAGATTTAAAACGTATCTATATTTCAACCAAAATGCCATGTTACCAGGACCACAGGGCTTCTGAAGGGGTCTAAAATTTGGGGGCAGAGTGAGTGGGGGGTACGGCTCACTGCCAACTTCTGGGATATGGAGTCTTATTGTGAACTTGTTTTGGTGGTGATGGGCAAGCAAGTGCTGTGTTAACACCAATGGTTCCCTGATCATTTGCCCCATTACCACAGGTGGGTTCAAATCTGGCTGATGAGGAGCCCTGTGGTCTGGATCCAGCCCAGAGACAAAAGAAATTTGATAACTTTGATGTATAGTAAAACTTCAAAACTTAAAACCACTTTGAATAGACCTTGCTAGGAAATCATGGAAATGAGCAAAATTTCAACTTCTTGCCCAAGAATAAGAATTGTGAAATGTTAAATATTCTTGTAGAATAGAAAAATAAATTCCTACCTAGCTTGACCTAAACAATATCCTACTGTTTTGATTTTATACCAGATCTATTTTTTATACTCAGATCCTTCTTCTGTGGAGATTTGCACCTACAAAGAAGGTGACCAGCTTCAAAAATGAAAAAATACACACACATTCACAAACGGGTTTCTCTTTTTGAGACGTGGTATGTTTTGTAGAATAGCCCAATGCTTTTCTCACAAACTAATGTTTGCAAAAAAACAAGTTTCACCAAAATTATGAGCATAATCTCAAATTTCTAGTTTTGGGGAAATTTTCTATGACCTTCTACTGGGATCATTTTATATCATTGTTAAAAGTTTTGGATTATCAGGGGAAAAATGCTTTTAGCGTGCAAATAGAAAATTAAGAGAAAAAAAATAGCAATGTATCAGGTGGTTGAGACTCGATAATGCACTGAGGTCCCTTCTGACCCTGACATCTATGAATCTGGCATCCATGATAAACTTTTACATGATGTCACAAAACAATGGAAAATGGGTCTGTTTTAAACTCTGCAAAATGGTAACAGTATTGACATTGAAACTTATTTCAACGAACTTTAGTGCTTAATACTATGATTGGGAGGGGATAATAACAGGACTTACAAATCTGTTAGAAGCTGTGCTAAGCTAACAAGAGGGCCATCAATACAAGGTGAACCCCTCTGACTTTATGGGCGCTTTCATGAACTCTGAAGCTACCTCCCTGACCAAATACCCTTTACACTTTTGCTGTCTTGTGACAGGCCTCTCAAATATAACGATTTTTAGAACCCTTGGGCAGTTTGCAGTTTGTTTAATTTTTGAGGTGGCATCTGAAGGCCATTGGGGCCTGGGTTGGAGGCCCCTGACATGATAACACAATGCCCTGCCAAATACTCGGTTTATTTGAAGCTCAGCTTTAGTAAATGGCAGCAGCACCAGTAGGTTGATCCCTTGCTATCAGACTCATCACAGTTAGGAGTGAACGTACTTGCATAACTGTGCATAGTTTTCTGTCTTGCAGAAGGCAGCTCCCTTCCCAAAGCCCCCTCAGAAGCGCAGCAGCTACAGGTGCTGGCTCACGAGCTTTCAGCATTATTCTCCTTGCTATGGGTGTTTCAAGGCACTCCTTAGAGGTCTTTTTCTGGTGGTACAGTGATTGCCAAAGTCTTTCTAACTGAACTGGTTTTAGTATTGGTGTAAGCAGAGTCTTTTGTGCTTTCACTGGGATTGGCAGAATTTAAATACCTCAGTAGCAAGCAGTATGGTCCAAAGAAGAAAAGCAACTGTGAAAAATGTCCTGCTGAGATAAGGGCCGCAATCATACCAGCACCTCCCTCAGCCAGTGCCCTAGTTCAAAAACATAGGACATGGCCTGCCGCAGCTATTAGCCCAAAACAAAGGTCTAATGTGGAGCCAACTTCAACCAAGGTCCAGAACGGAGGTGAAGGGAGCCCCTTGGCTCTTCTTCCAGCTTGTCTTCCTAAAAGCCATAATTCCAGCTATGATGTTAAGATCAATTACCCCAAACACACCCTTACAACTGTGGTTAACCACCAAGCAAGCTCCCTGCTCAGACCAGTATCCAAGGTCCAAAGACCTTGGCCAAGTCAAGGTAGGCATCTATGGGCCTTGCGGCCAGCCCTCTTCCCTGCCAGGCTCCGGATGGAGTCTCTGCACCCTGGCACAGGAGAGAACACGGCTCTGTCTTCAGATACCCGACTGGAGCCAGCAAGGTCAGCAATTAATGGAACCTTGTTTTGACATTGGGCAAATTTGATCTGACAGTCACTAGTTTTCAGCAGGGTAAATTAGTCTGGGAAGAGTGACATGTTAATGCAGCTATATAGTTTCCGGTCCCTGAGCTAGCTTGGGTATCTCGACATGGCACTGCATTGTTCAGCATAGACATGCTCATTGAGAGGTCTTTTTCACAGACTCGCTTCTTCACCATAATGTGTTTCTTTGAGCCACAAGACCAAGATCCCCGTCACACAGTTTTAAAGAGACACTGTCAAGGCAGAACCCATGCATTACTTTGAAACCCATTTATCCTTTAATGACATGACCTTGGTCTATTATAACAAGACAAGCGTTTACAGGAGGATTCTGGGCATCAGGACTACTGGGCTCTCTTCCCAGAGGCTCTGAATACTTATTTGATATCTGTTGGTTTGGGGAAGCCAATTTTACAGCCCAGGTTCCCGAAGGAGCACAGGTCGCATTCAGTCTTCAGTATAAGTGGTCGTTGCTCCCCACCAAAAGAACTCCATTTGTTGGATGTTGAGCTGTTGTGGCAATGTAATCCTTTACCTCTCACAGCTAAGCTGCTGGGTGCCAAGCATTGTTGCCCGCTTTCTTCGGATCAGTATGGTGAGGTTTGGAGTACTCAACGATTCTGTGGACTTTGGGATTCAAAGGAGAAAGGGCTCTGTTCACGGACAGTATTTTAATTGGAGATGGTCCACAAAAGAGCAAAAATGCATGGGAATAATGTTTGTAATATTTCCACAGCAAAATTTACAACCCACGCAAACTGACTGACCATGGCTGGAGATTGCGGCTGGAGGTCCTTTACAGGTAATTCAAGGAGTAATGCCTACAGTCAAGGTAGCGTGACACTTCCCATTACAAGATCCTGTTTGTAGTTGCTTATAACTTTGCCAGACTTAAACTCTTTGGGGCGGAAATTTCCCACCCCCTGGGTATGTGGCTCAGGGCTGAACTGTACTGAAAAGTGTCAGCTGCAGCAGTTCAGTCACTTCTGAGAATGAGATTAGGCCCATGCTAAAAAAAAAAAGAATGCAATTGTTTCCATGAGACGGCCTTGTGCCTCCGTGCTTTGGAGCTGGGACATGAGACTTGAAGAGGTGAGGTCATTCTGGTGTCAGGATCTTCTACCATCCCAATGAAAATGTCCAAAATTTGGCCAAATTATAAGCCTCACAAAAATCACAGTTTCCATTTTTCTCTCTCTCTTTCAAGGGCAGTGTGTGCCTGAAAGCTCACTCAACATGTCTTTCAGCTATACAGCTGGTCCAGTAAAAGTTATCATAAAATAATCCCTTGCCTCATACATTTCCTGGATGATCAGTGGTGACAACAATACTCCAGCCCTACCACCTACCAGCTTCCATTCACACCAACTTTTATACATCCGTCCACCTCCGTTTCTCCCTCTCCTGTCCTTCTCAGACCGTCTCTCTACATCTGCCTGTGACACTTTCTAGTAGCAAAGGCAACATCTGTTTGTCAGTTCTCACATGCTGTCCCTGAGACTGGCTATTTCCTTTGACACACGATATAAGGAATTATAGACAGCCCAGGGAGCACTGATCAATCCAATTCTGTTGCCTTAGCTGTCTCAAGGTTGTCTTTTTATTGTTATTACTGTTTGATGTTACTTGGGATGGAAATTGCGTAATCAAAGGTAGGGAGGAATTTGGAGGCAGGCGAATCGTGCAGTTATTGACAGGCATTCAGTAGTTTTGTCCTCAGGAGGAGACTCTGACCATACTGGATGCAAGGAGAGTTTAGCTCTGCAAAGCATTTGACCACAATGTGAGCGAGCGTCAAGGAGCTGACACAGCTGGGTGACTGATCAGTTGGTTTGGGCAGTTTGCACTGAAAGTGAGAGCAGGCAGCCCACCCCAAAGGCCCACCGCCTTCCTGGCTCAGTCATGGCCCTCATTGACCTGGTTGTTACAATTTTGTATCCTGGGAAGGCTGGGGTCAGTTATGATCCTTGCACTAGGGTTTTCAAGTCAAGGGCCAGCATGGTATTGCCAGATGGGGTAGATGCTGTGTCAGTACAGCAGGGATTCTCAACCAGGGGCATCTGGCACCCCGAGGTGATGCGAGATCTTTCAAGCATGCCACAGGGTTCCTCACAACATTAAAACTGTTCACAAGATAGACCCAGAGATTTCTATTAGGGATCCATAGTGTCAAAGCCATTCTGATCTGTTATTGTCTCTGAGTGCTTTGCAACAGAAGAACTGATACATTATTTTTTCATAGTTAAAAATGATTGAAAGCTCAGACCTGGCATTTACTGAGGAGTGCCTTGAGTCCAGAATGGTTGAAAGCCACTTTGCCAGAAAAATACTGTTCCAACCCCCCGAAGGGAAAACCATATTGCTCCACAGAGTCCCCATTTGGCAGTTTTAGAAACCACATGGGTAGGGTCTGGGGTGCACTGCATCCATTCCCCCCAAACTTAGGGGTTCTGATGTCATTTGAACCTCTGCTTCTTCTGAGGTTTATTCCCTCCTCAGGGTAAGAGAGACCCCTCTCCCAGCTCCAAGCTTGTTACTAATGCATTGGATGCTGATGGGCCATATTGCCAAGGAAGGCAGGCAAGTCCTTTAGTTACCCAAACACCTGCTGTGGCCTGAGAAGACAGGTCAAACCCCCTTGTTGCTCCTCCCTGCGAGCATGCCCTATTCCCATCCCTGAGGGCTGCATTCTGCATTTAGCCTCCTAGCCTAATCAATACCATGGTAGCCTAGTATTTCCAAGACCACTGCTCGAGACCCCCAGGGAAAGACCTATGCACTGTGATTTCAGTATTTCACCTGCTGATAATCTAATGGGCTGGAGTGTCAAGCTTGGCCATCAAAGCACAACCAGCCACTTTCCATATTGGTGCTTAGCACCTCCCATTCCTTCTGGTGGCAGATGACAACAAAGAGAAATGCTCTCAAGTTGCAGCAAGGAAGATTTAATTTGGCTACTATGAAAAACTCTCTCACTAGGAGGGTGGTGAAGCACTGGACCAGGTTATCTAGAGAGGTGGTGAAATCTCCATCTTTGGAGGTTTTTAAGGCCCAGCTTGACAACCCCCCCGGCTGGGATGATCTAGTTGGGGCTGGTCCTGCTTTGAGCTGGGGGTTGGACTAGATGTGACCTCCGGAGGTCCCTGCCAACCCTCATTTTCTATGCTTCTTGAGATTTTGACTCCACTCGCCCTCCGATCCAACCATGGCACCTGCCTCAGTTTCCCTCTTGATAGAATTTCTGTTAAGCACCTTTGTGCGCTCTGCTGCATTGCCCTACATGGTTCAACAATGCTCTTGGCAAAACACCCACACGGGGACCTCATGGTCCTCCCTCAAATCCAGCCTTAAATGCCTCCTCTGCCTGCAAAAGAGCCTTTGGCAACAACTCAGCCAGGGTGTGCTGATGCCTCTGGCTACCACACTGGCCAACATTGCTGTGTTGTTCCCATCTAAAGCCCCGTCTGTTTTGCACCCACCCCTTTGGTCGAGTCCAGTACTTATCTTGTAAACAGTCTAGGGAAGGAACTGTCTCTTCTTAGTTTGTGCAGCACCAAGCGCAACAAAGTCCTGATCCACAGGCAAGGTCATCCCCATCACACCACCTTAAATCACACAGCAGAGGCCCAAACACCTGCTTTAATACCAGCCCTCTGCATTCCTCTACTACCTTCTGGAGGGAAGCACCCATCTGTCTAGTATGGTCTATAAGCATCAGTCTTATCTACACCTAAGCAATGGGGAAACTGGGGCGCTGATGGATTAAAGCCTCTCTCTCAAGGTCAGTGGCACAGCAAGGAATAGGCCCAAAGCCCCATCTAGAGCTTCAACCTGTCCTATAACACCTATAACAAGAGATCAGACTTGTGGGTGCTGGGGTGGTTGGTGGTTTTTATTCCAAGGCTTCAAAAGTAACAGTTGCTTTAAACATTGCCCCTTCCTCCTTCTCCTGCTTTCAATTCCCACCTGCGAAGCAAGAGACAATGCCAGGTTCAGGAGAGATTGGGTGGGCATGCAGGGGGGCAGACCAGAAGCCACCACCACCACCACCACCACACATGGGAGAGGGCTGGTTACTGATTTCCTAGCATCTGGGAGCAGGGACTGGATGGTCTCCCTAATGCTGAACAGGCCTCGGTCTAGGACCCTGAGGAATTCCTTGTCCTGCTATTTCCCTGTTTATTTTTTTTTTCTCCTTCATCTTTTCTTTTTCCTCCTCTCTCCCCCAGGGATTGGAAATACCAGAGTTGATGCAATAGGCAGGGCAGCATTTGCCAGCAAATGAAATCTTGGATAAACTTGCAGTCTCCAGTCCCCTCCCCCATCCCCCTGCTGCATCCAACATCCCTCTTCCCCCACCCTGTGGGGGGGTGACATGGGCTGGGTCTCCTGCTTTTACTGGCCCTGGGATTCACCGTTTACTGATTAACCCCCTCCCAGACACACACCTCATGCAAAAACCCTGTTACACATCACAGCTGAACAGCTGCAGGTAACACGACCCTCCCTCAGACCGCTAAACATGAGACTGACATGTTGCAAGTTTGTGTGTTTCATGCATGCATGTGTGCAGGCGTGTGCGCGCGCGTGTGTGGTGACAGGTCAGTGTGTCAAAGATGCATTTGTATGCTTATTGCAGAATTGTGTGGTGTCTTGCATATGTGTGTGTTGCCAGCTTCCATGTGTAGTATGATTGCCTGTGTAGTATGCATGTATCTGGTTTGGGGGAAGGGGAGCTGGGTGTCATGCATGCTTGTGTGTGTGTGTGTGTGTGTGTGTGTGTGTGTGTGCACGTGCACATGCCTGAGCTTGTGTGCAGTGTATACAGTGCATGTTGCCAATCTGCATGTCATACAATGACAAAAGCAGGGTGCCCTGCTTGTGTCACGTATACATCATTGTGTGCATTACAGGCTTGTCCAGTATGAAGGTGTCTTGATTGTCAATTTGTGTGGGCCCATGTACACATGCATATAAGCCCTTGTGTGCTTTGCATGGCTGTCACATTCATGTATGTGTTTTACAGGCTGACTATACACATGCATACATGTGTGCTTTGTCATATGAATGCCTGTGTGTTTCCCCGGCTTGTGGGTTTGTTGCAAGGTCATGCCTGTGACATGCATGCATGAGGGAGTTGCACTACTAGCAGTGTTGTACATTGTGTGTGTATCACTGATGTTCATGCACAAGGGCGTGTGTGTGCCTCCGAATTTGCTTTAGTGTGTGGTGTGCTTGAGACAAGGCGGCGGCAGGGAGGCGGCAAGCAAAGCAAGGACAGAAGCTGAGGAGGGAGTCTCACCTTACTCAAGGGTTTCCTTAAGGGGAAGGGGAAAAGTGCCAGTTGGCTTCACTTGAGCAGAAGTAGGACTCTGAGCTGAGCTAGCTTCTCCCACCCCTACTCCCCAGACCCAGTTCAGCGACACCCAAGCACTGGGGAGGATCAAATTCATACAGGGCCGTGGCAGCAGCTCCTTGTCTCTGCTGGGCAGAACCAGCCTCCACCCTACATGTGAACAGGCTTAAACTGTGCAGACACACAGTCACCTCCATGCCTCTGGCCTCTTCTCCTTCCTTTACTGCAAGGAGCCAGCCCCCTCCTGGATCGTGAGCACGGAGAGAAAAAGGGCATCAGCAAATACAAGCCGAGCTGGGGGAGGAGATGGGAGCGACCTATGGCCCTTGCGGCCTGCTGCATTTCAAAGGTGAGAAAAAGGCCAATGGGAAGGAGAGGAAAACCTTAGTTAGCTTAAAAGACGACAGTCACAGACCTCTGGCAGGGGAAGAAGCAAGTCAGTCCTACCTATGCCACCCTGTCAGCAGCTAAAGCACTAGACCCTCCAGTCCATGCGCTGGTGCTACGGCCAGTCTGGTTTTACATGTCCCCAGCAACTGGGCATCTCCTGAGGAGACCGTGCTGGAGCCTAACATGCTTCTCTGCCTCTGCCCCTAGTGATGCCAGCCCTCAGCTGGTGTTTACGCCTCCTGAAATTGTTCTCTTTTCTCCCCGTTTTGGCCCAATCTCTGTGGGTCAATTCTTGGTAGGAACAGGGCCTCCAGTTTTCTGTTTGGACTGCTAGAGGTCACTACACACCTCCATAAAACCACAGAAGATGGGGTAAGGCAGGGATGTCAGACACAGGGCCCCAGAGCCCTGCCCTCTGGCCCCCAGTGCTGCCCCTGGGTCTGAGCAGACCCATGCAGGACAGGACATGGCACCCACCAGACCAGCCCCACAGGCCAGGCCTGTGCATGCACAGGACTGTGCGGTGTAGTTTGGTTGGGGGCACGTAGAACAGATCCCGGACTGAAGTGCCCATCCTGACCGGATTGTGGCCCATGAGCAGAGCCAGCTTTAGGGTGGGCGGGTGTCCAGGGTACCATGGTCAGGGGGTGCCACCCACAGACACACGGTTCTGAACCCATACAATGACCGCTGCCACTGTTATGTAGACTGTGATGGAATAACATTGCTCACCCATGTGTTGCCAGTTCCTCTTTCCCACATCTGTGCACATATGGACGCACCAGCTCACCTTCCCTCTGTGGCCCCATAAGATTGAGTTGTTTAGTGCTGAGCTGATTGATGTACTAAAAGCCAAAAGATCAGCTGTGCTGAGCTGAGTAGGTGCCCAAATATTTGCCTGTTGTTGCAGAAACAGAATCCACTAGATGGTGCCATAAGACTATAGTTGTGATGCACCACAAGGCTAGGGATGGGGTGCTTGGCAATGAGTATATACATAGATGGTTAGGAATGAAGTGGAAAAAGGAAATGGGAAGTTGTCCTCCCAGCACCAACACAGCACAAGAAGAAATGGGGGGGTGGGAAGCAGAGGAAGAGCG